CAGCAGGGACCCTCTTTGTTGGTGGGGTGGCCATTTTGTGGTATCTTTATGGAAGCCTGATCTCCTTCTGGTAGCCATTTTGTTTCATTTATTATTTACTAGCCGCCCCCTGCCACACGTTGCTGTGGCCCACATGGGGTTCTGTGTGGGAGGTTTGGCCCAATTCTATTGTTGGTGGGGTTCAGAATGCTCTTTGATTGTAGGTGAACTATAAATCCCAGCAACTACAACTCCCAAATGTCAAGGTCTATTTCCCCAAACTCCACCAGTGTTCACATTTGGGCATATTGTGTTGAGTTTGGTCCAGATCCATCATTGTTTGAGTCCACAGTGATCTCTGGATGTAGGTGAACTACAACTCCAAAACCAAAGGACACTGCCCACCAAACCCTTCCAGTATTTTCTGTTGGTCATGGGAGAACTGTGTGCCAAGTTTGGCCCAATTCTATCCTTGGTGGGGTTCAGAATGTTCTTTGATTGTAGGCGAACTATAAATCCCAGCAACTACAACTCCCAAATTACAAAATCATTGGGTTGTTAGTTGTCTTGTGTCCAAATTTGGTGTCAATTCCTCCAGTGATTTTTGAGTTCTGTTAATCCCACAAACGAACATTACATGTATTTATATATATATATTTAGGAAGATATATATATATATATATATATATAATATATATATATATATATTTCTAAATTGCAACACATTTGAGTGAGGAGATCAACCACACTTCCTTCCTGAAAAGGCCCCACCAAAGCGGCCGGGAAAGTTCATTCTCCTCTCTGCCTTTTGAGACCTTTAACCCAAAATGAACCCAATCCCATTGTGCCCAGAGCAAGGGAGGAAACCATCTCACTTCCAGTTTAACTGGAGAATATCTGTTTTTGCTTTCCAGCCCAAGGAGAAAGAGCTGTGTCTTTTAACTCCAAATTACATGGGTTGTTGTAGGTTTTTTGGGCTATATGGCCATGTTCTAGAGGCATTTCTCCTGACATTTCGCCTGCATCTATGGCAAGCATCCTCAGAGGTAGTGAGGTCTGTTGGAACTAGGAAAAGGGTTTATATATCTGTGGAATGACCAGGGTGGGGCAAAGGACTCTTGTCTACTGGAGCTAGGTGTGAATGTTTCAACTGACCACCTTGATTAGAATTTAATGGCTTGGAAGTGCCTGGGGCACCTGATGAACCAACCTGGACACAGCATGCTATTTGAGAACACGGAAATGCTGGACCACTCTCACAACCACCATGTCAGACTACACAGAGAAGCCACTGAAATCCACAAGCATGTGGACAATTTCAACAGAAAGGAGGAAACCATGAAAATGAACAAAATCTGACTACCAGTATTAAAAAACTCAAAAATTACAACAGCAAAACAACAGAGAGGAAACAATCAGGCACATCAAATCACCTCTCAACAAAAGATTCCCCCAGGCACTTCCAAGCCATTAAATGCTAATCAAGGTGGTCAGTTGAAACATTCACACCTAGCTCCAGCAGACAAGAGTCTTTTGTCCCACCCTGGTCATTCCACAGATATATAAACCCTTTTTCCTAGTTCCAACAGACCTCACTACCTCTGAGGATGCTTGCCATAGATGCAGGCGAAACGTCAGGAGAAAATGCCTCAAGAACATGGCCATATAACCCAGAAAAACCTACAACAACCCAGTGATTCCGGCCATGAAAGCCTTCGACAATACATCCAAATTACATGTTTGTTTGTTTTTTTTAAAAAAAATTCCATCTATAGAATGGTTATAGATTTGAAAGGATCGTGGTCATGAAGGAGATGCTCCAAATCACAGGGGTCTAGTCTGCTGGTGGGAACAACAGGAGCTGCAGAGAAAGAATTCACTCAAAATCCGATGCAAATCCAAATATGGAAAATAAAGCAACGGCCCACAGGTGGGGAACACTTGATATCTGGGTTGTTGTAGGTTTTTTCGGGCTATATGGCCATGGTCTAGAGGCATTCTCTCCTGACGTTTCGCCTGCATCTATGGCAAGCATCCTCAGAGGTGGTGAGGTCTGTTGGAACTAGGAAAAAGGGTTTATATATCTGTGGAATGACCAGGGTGGGACAAAGGACTCTTGTCTGCTGGAGCTAGGTGTGAATGTTTCAACTGACCACCTTGATTAGCATATAATGGCCTGAGAGTGCCTGGAGCAAACTTTTGTTGAGAGGTGATTAGATGTCTTTAGTTTTTAGGAGGAGTTTGAAGACGTGGTTGTCCCAGTGTGCCTTCCCAGAATAATGATCCCGTAGCACTTTGTCCTCCGAAGCACTTTACATTTTAGGTCTGCTTGTATGTTTTCCACAAACACCACTTTCACCTTTTCGTCTATGTTGGATGCATTATTTTCAGTTTTAATTTTACATTTGGCCTTCCCACAGTTTTAATTGTGTGTTGTCTTATGTTAATGTTGCATTATTTTATTGTCCATGTTTTATTTTAATTGCTTGTATTGTTATTATTGCTTGTATTGTTGTATTTGGGCTCTGCCTCATGTAAGCTGCACAGAGTCCCTTGTGGAGATGGTAGCGGGTACAAATAAAGTGTTGTGATTAGATGCCCTTGTTTGTTTCCTCTCTGTTGTTTTGCTGTTGTAATTTTAGAGGTTTTTTAGGCCATTATATGCTAATCAAGGTGGTCAGTTGAAACATTCACACCTAGCTCCAGCAGACAAGAGTCCTTTGTCCCACCCTGGTCATTCCACAGATATATAAACCCTTTTTCCTAGTTCCAACAGACCTCACTACCTCTGAGGATGCTTGCCACAGATGCAGGCGAAACGTCAGGAGAAAATGCCTCTAGAACATGGCCATATAGCCCGAAAAACCTACAACAACCCAGTGATTCCAGCCATGAAAGCCTTCGACAATACACTTGATATCCATACCACTCCTCAATGAGGAGGACTGTTGTACCACCAAACATTGCGTTCATCAGTCGTACAAGCAAAATGGGTTTTTATAGCAAAGACTTTTAGCATTGATACAGTGATCAATGCTAGATGACCAAAACGAACCCAGACAAGGAAGGAGAAATACCATCTCTTCAGTCCCAGCTCCTCAACAGATCTTCAACAGAAAAGCATCCTGAGCTCTGAGGATTATTACCTGGGAAGGAATCCCACTGGAGCATTGCAGCACACCGAAATCCCTGGGAGTCACTCTGGACCGTGCTCTGACCTACAAGAAGCACTGCCTGACCATCAAACAAAAAGTGGGCGTTAGAAACAATATCATATGAAAGCTGACTGGCACAAGCTGGGGATCACAACCAGACACAGTGAAGACATCCGCCCTTGTGCGCTACTCTGCTGCTGAGTATGCATGCCCAGTGTGGAACACATCTCACCACGCTAAAACAGTGGATGTGGCTCTTAATGAGACATGCCGCATTATCTCGGGGTGTCTGCGCCCTACACCACTGGAGAAATTACACTGTCTAGCCGGTATTGCACCACCTGACATCCGCCGGGAAGTAGCAGCCAATAGTGAAAGGACCAAGGCAGAGACATCTCCAGCTCATCCCCTGTTTGGGTATCAGCCAGCACGTCAACGACTTAAATCAAGAAATAGTTTTCTAGATCTACAGAGACACTCGCTGGAACACCTCAGCAAGCGAGAGTTCAAAAGTGGCAGGCTCAAACCCAGCACCTCAATCCGTGGGTGATACCAGATGAGAGACTCCCCCCTGGGCACACAGAAGATTGGGTGACTTGGAAGGCGCTGAACAGACTGCGCTCTGGCACCACGAAATGCAGAGCCAGCCTTCAGAAATGGGGCCACAAAGTGGAATCCACGACATGCGAGTGTGGAGAAGAGCAAACCACAGACCACCTGCTGCAATGCAACCTGAGCCCTGCCACATGATGCACAAGGGAGGAGCTTTTTATAGTAACACCAGAGGCACTCCAAGGGGCCAGATACTGGTCAAAGGACATTTAATCAACTATCAAGCTTGCAAACTTTGTGTTTTGTTTGTTTGTTTAAAAAATGCAATACAACTGTTTGGTGTGCTCCTGACACGATAAATAAATAACCCAGATGTAGCACAACCCTGACATACATCTATCTAGAGCAGGGTTTCTCAACCTGGGGGTCGGGACCCCTGTGGGGGTCATGAGAGTGTGTCAGAGGGGTCGCCAAAGACTATTAGAAAACATAGTATTTTCTGTTGGTCATGTAGGTTCTGTGTGGGAAGTTTGGCCCAATTCTATCATTGGTGGGGTTTAGAATGCTCTTTGATTGTAGGTGAACTATAAATCCCAGCAACTACAACTCTCAAATATCAAGCTCTATTTTCCCCAAACCCCACCAGTATTCACATTTGGGCCAGATCCATCATTGTTTGAGTTCACAGTGCTCTCTGGGTGTAGGTGAACTACAACTCCAAATTCAAGGTCAACTCACACCAAACCGTTCCTGTTGGTCATGGGAGTTCTGTGTGCCAAGTTTGGTTCAATTCCATTGTTGGTGGAGTTCAGAGTCCTCTTTGATTGTAGGTGGACTATCAATCCCAGCAACTAAAACTCCCAAAATCAATTTGCCTGAAACCCACCAGTATTCAAATTTGGTTGTATTGGGTATTTGTGCCAAATTGGGTCCAGTGAATGATAATACATCCTGCATATCAGATAATTAAATTACAATTCATAACAATAGCAAAATTGCAATTGTGAAGTAGCAACAAAAATAATTTTATTGTTGGGGGGTCACCAGAAAATGAGGAACTGCATTAAGGGGTCACAGCATTAGGATGGTTGAGAAACACTGATCTAGAGGCACTCCAAGTGGCCAGATACTGGTCAAAGGACATTTAATCAACTACCAAACTTGAAAAAATTGTGTTTTGTTTGTTTGTTTGTTTGTTAAAAAATGCAATACAACTGTTTGCTCCTGACACGATAAATAAAAATAAAGAGATCATTTTGGTGTGCACAATCCTTGGCCTTTCTTCAACTGCAGTATTCACTTTGTGTTAACGGCCTAACATATATAATTTAAAAACATTATAATTTCATTCCAAACCACGTTATCCGGCGGGTGGACGTTGTTCGTGGCGTAAGCAACAGTCATGTCCCACGCATCGACAAAAGCGACGTCAAGACCCCGAAAAATGTATTTCATGGCAAGGTTTTGGGTGTAGCCATGGAAGTTGCTGAATCTCTCCTGGTCGATGTCCAAGTCCCGGGTGTTCTCTCCCTTGATGAGGACCCGGGTGCCTGGGCTCCTCAGGAGTAAGCGCTGGATGGCTCGGCGGACGTTGACGGCCCTTCGGATGAAGATCTCCATGGGGAAGGGGCGGAAGTGCTGGCCCAAGGTAAAGACTATTGCCGTGTCTTTGTCCCCAGCGATGCTGTCGATATCCCGAGTGACGTAGGAGTAGTCCTTGAGGGTGTACTCCGTGAAGCCGATGTAAGGGTGCCCGTGTTTTTTCCACTGAATCTGAATGTTTTTGACATTGTCAACAGCAATGAATTTCAGTATCCTTCCAGTTAAGTGGAGATCGAGATAGGCAAGGCCTAATGGGGAATAAATTAAATTGTTTTTATTTTGAATTGTTTTCTGGCAAATAATTTGTGGGGATTATCATAGATACACAGTATTTTCTGCTGGTCATGGGAGTTCTGTGTGGGAAGTCTGGCCCAATTCTATCATTGGTGGGGTTCAGAATGCTTTGATTGTAGGTGAACTATAAATCCCAGCAACTACAACTCCCAAATGTCAAGGTCTATTTTCCCCAAACTCCATCAGTGTTCACATTTGGGCATACTGAGTATTTGTGCCTAGTTTCGTCCAGATCCATCATTTGATAAAATAGTAAAGAGTAGAGACATCAGAATGGCAACAAAGATCCACCTAGTCAAAGCCATGGTATCCCTGTAGTAACCTACGGATGTGAGAGCTGGACCTTAGGGAAGGCAGAGCGAAGGAAGATCGATGCTTTTGACTGTGGTGTTGGAGGAAAGTTCTGAGAGTGCCTTGGACTGCAAGAAGATCCAACCAGTCCATCCTCCAGGAAATAAAGCCCACTGCTCACTGAAGGGAAGGATACTAGAGACAAAGTTGAAGTACTTTGGCCACATCATGAGGAGACAGCAAAGCCTAGAGAAGGGAGTGATGCTGGGGAAAGTGGAAGGCAAAAGGAAGAGGGGCCGACCAAGGGCAAGATGGATGGATGGCATCCTTGAAGTGACTGGACTGACCTTGAGGGAGCTGGGGGTGGTAACAGCCGACAGGGAGCTCTGGCGTAGGCTGGTCCATGAGGTCACGAAGAGTCGGAGACGACTGAACGAATGAACAACAACATCATTGTTTGAGTCCACAGTGCTTTCTGGAGATAGGTGAACTACAACTCCCAAACTCAAGGCCAATGCTCACCTAACCCTTTCATTATTTTTTGCTGGTCATGGGCGTTCTGTGTGCCAAGTTTGGGTCAATTCCATCTCTGGTGGAGTTCAGAATGTTCTTTGATTGTAGGTGAACTATAAATCCCAGCAACTACAACTCCCAAGGTCCAGAGAATGAAAATACATCCTGCCTATCAGATATTTACATGACGATTCATAACAGTAGCAAAATTCCAGTTATGAAGTAGCAACGAAAATAATTTTAGGGTTGGGGGTCATCACAACATGAGGAACTATATAAAGGGGTCACGGCGTTAGGAAGGTTGAGGACCACTGCTCCAGACAGTATGTGGGAGAGAGGGTGGTCTAGAAATAAAGTATTATTATTACTATTATTATTCTGCAGCTGTGCAATACTTTTTGCATGGCTGTAATTGTGTAACTGCAATCCACCACAGCAGCGCAATGGTACAATTAAGTCAATTTTTATAATTTAAAAAAAATGGAGAATGGAGGAAAAAAATGTGATTTCTATATACTACGATGTCCTTTTTGTCTGGACACCAGAACTGGAGTAACTTCAGAATATTTGGAGATATGGAAAAAGGAGAAGAGGAGAACCATTCCCACTCAACTACATGTCGGTCAGGATACTAGACTGAATGAATCAACACTCTAGAAATAATAAGTTGAGTACCAGCAATATCACAGCCATTAATTGCGTCCAATTCTGGGCACCACAATTGAAGAGAGATATTGACAAGCTGGAAAGTGTCTAAAGGGCGAATAAAATGATCAAGGGTCTGGTGAACAAGCCCTATGAGGAGCGGCTTAAGGAGCTGGGAATGTTTAGCCTGAAGAAGAGAAGGCTGAGAGGAGACATGATGATAGCCATGTATAAATATGCGAGGGGAAGTCATAGTGAGGAGGGAGCAAGCTTGCAATTGAAGAGAGATATTGAGAAGCTGGAAAGTGTCCAGAGGAGGACAACTAAAATGATCAAGGGTCTGGAGAACAAGCCCTATGAGGAGCAGCTTAAAGAGCTGGGCATGTTTAGCCTGAAGAAGAGAAAACTGAGAGGAGACATGATAGCCATGTATAAATATGCGAGGGGAAGACAGAGAGAGGAGGGAGCAAGTTAGTTTTCTACTGTCCTGGAGACTAGGATGCGGAACAATGGCTTCAAACTATTTATTTATTATTTATTTAAAATATTGATATTCCACCCTTCTCACCACAAAGGGGACTCAGGGCGGAGCACAGCATATATATGGCAAGCATTCAATGCCGGGACACAAATTCTTATATGCATACATAAACATTAAAAACATTTATCAAAATATTAAAATACACAATTTAAAACCGTCCTATCTGATTTGCCTGGTCATCTTTCCTATTGCTGCTTTATTGCCCTGTCCCGAAAGGTTGGTCCCACAGCCAAGTTTTGACCATCCTTCTAAAGGACAGGAGGGAGGGGGCCGACCTGATCTCACCAGGAAGGGAGTTCCATAGCCAGGGAGCCATCACTGAGAAGGCCCTGTCTCTCGTCCCCACTAATCGTGCCTCTGACAATGGCACTCCTGGGCCTCCCTGGAGGATCTTAATCTCCATAGGCAGAGATGTGTTCAGACAGGTAATTTATTTATATAGATGAACAAGTACAGAACTTACTGGGCACTTTCATTTTGAAGTTCTCCAGCCATTGGCGCATAGTTGAGTCTCCCATGAAATAGACCAGCTTGCCTTTCAAGCACGTCTCAATCTGCTCCAAAGTATTGAAAGGGGACACGTTGCAGAAGAGAGGATGCCACTGGTTTTGCCACACAAAGCCACTGGGAAATGGGAAGTTCATCCCAAACTGACATTTCTGACTTGCCTTGGTTGGGTTGCCTGGAAAAAGGAAGCAAGAGTCAACGGGAAGAGAGAGAACCGTATGAATACCAGGTCTTACTATAAAAGATGTCTTCAGCCATCAATGAGTCTTAAAAACTCCAGAACTCCAGAAAGATGTTAAGAAGTCCAACAAAACCAACACAGACACATGCATCAAGGTGACCAAAGCCATCTCCATTTCACAATGAGAGCCCAGAACTCAAATGGTGTCTTTCTCTTCTCCAAGGGTGAAATGTATACAAATTCAGTGGCACCAAGCATCCCTATATGGCAATTTATTTATTATTATTATTATTTATTTATTTACGACATTTATATGCTGCCCTTCTCACCCCAGGGGACTCAGAGCAGCTTACAATATATATATATATATATATATATATATATATATATATATATATATATATATATCTGTATGTGTGTGTGTGTGTACACACAGAGAGAGACACATACACACATATATACACAATATATTATATTATTAGCATAATACAATATCAGTATTACTAGCCGTCCTCTGCCACGCGTTGCTGTGGCCCAGTTTGGTGATTTGGAAAAGTAAAAGAGGGCTTTGGTTATGGTCTCCTGCCCTGGTGAAGGGAGTTGGACTGGCTAGCCGTTAGGCAGCATTATCTCATCCTGGGGGTCAGGACCCCAGGGGGTGTCGCGGGGGGGGGGTGTCAGAAGGGTTGTCAGAGACCACCAGAAAACACAGTATTTTGTGTTAGTCATGGGGGTTCTGTGTGGAAAGTTTGGTCCAATTTGGTCACTCATTGGCCTGATAGGTGTATTGTGTCCAAATTTGGAATCAATTCACCCAAATGTAATGTTCGTATGTTAATCCCACAAACGAACATTACATTTTTATTTATATAGATTACTATATTGTATTATTGAATATTATGAGTAATGTTACATGTAATATAAATATATAATTATAATATCATAGTATTATTATTATATTGCATTACATTATAATATTATATTATATTATATTTATTATATTATACATTATATTATATTATATTATTAACATAGCACAGGAGACAAGATGGAACTGTCCCCTGCCCACCCCCCTCCTTCACATATTTAGCTTCACAATTAAAGCCTATTCACAAAGCTAATTAAAACTCTTGTCTTTTAGAGTAAATATGGCACGTGTCTTGCTGGTTTGAGTGCTTGCCACACAAGTTGTAGCCATAATGAGGAAATCCAACTCACCCCCACATTGTGCCACATGAATTTCCCCGATCGCATGAGGAATCTCCACTCCAAGATTGGACCTTCAAGAGAAAGACAAATGGGGTGAAAGAGTAGACTGGGACACTTTAAGAGTGAAGAGGATGACATGTAAGTGTGAATGGTATAAGAATGATGTCTTATGAAAGCTAAAAAGGAAGATTGAGACAGGTGGAATGCGGGAATTATTGGAGGATTTGAGAAGAAGATCTAAGCTAGTGGTGGATGGACCACCAATGGTCCACAAGAATGAAAATATGGTTCACGGCCTCACCAGTATGACACTGTTGCCTTGAAACCATGTGGCAACGAGAGCAACTGGTCTCGCGAAACTCTCTTCTAGTGCCGAGGCAACGGGGATGTTGGAAGGGGAGAGGCTGATACCCACAAAAGGTTACTACTACTACATCAGCTCTAAATTATTAAATATGGTTTTCTGTGGGCAAGCAGATGTCGACTACTGGGTGGCATATGTTCTGTATCAGAAACTAGAGCTGGTGTGGTCTATCCAATACAATTTTCTAAATCAGCACCCCAAATAATCAAACTGAATCTAAAGTTGACCAAACAGTGCTCTCTGGATGTAGGTGAACTACAACTCCCAAACTCTAGGTCAGTGTTTCTCAACCTGTGGGTCGGGACCCCTAGGGGGGGTCATGAGGGGGTGTCAGAGGGGTCGCCAAAAAGCATCAGAAAGCACAATATTTTCTGTTGGTCATGGGGGTTCTGTGTGGGAAGTTTGGCCCAATTCTATCATTAGTGGGGTTCAGAAAACTACAAATCCCAGCAAGTACAACTCTCCAATGTCAAAGCCTAGTTTCCTCAAACTCCACCAGTGTTCACATTTGGGCATATTGAGTATTTGTGCCACGTTTGCTCCAGATCCATCATTGTTTGAGTCCACAGTGCTTTTTGGATGTAGGTGAACTACAACTCCAAAACTCGAGGTCAGTGCCCACCAAACCTTTCCAGTATTTTCTGTTGGTTATGGAGTTCTGTGTTCCAAGTTTGGTTCAATTCCATCATTGGTGGAGTTCAGAATGCTCTTGATTGTAGTGGAACTATAAATCCCAGCAACTACTACTCTTCATGACAAAATCAATCTCTCCACCTGCAACCCACCAGTATTCAAATGTGGGAGTATTGGGTATTTGTGCCAAATTTGGTCCAGTGAATGAAAATACACCCTGCATATTAGATATTTACATTCTGCTTCATAACAGTAGCAAAATTATAGTTGTGAAGTAGCAACAAAAATAATGTTATGGTTGGGGGTCACCACAACATGAGGGACTGTATTCAGGGGTCGCAGCATTAGAAAGGTTGAGAACCACTGCTCTAGGTCAATGCCCACCAAACCCTTCTAGTGTTTTCGGTTGGTCATGGGAGTCCTATCTGCCAAGTTTGGTTCAATTCCATCATTGGTGGAGTTCAAAATGCTCTTTGACTGCAGGTGAACTATAAATCCCAGCAACTACAACTCTCAAATGACAAACTCAATTTTTTGAGTGAAGGACATACATTGGGTTGTTAGGTGTCTTGTGTCCAAATTTGGTGTCAATTCGTCCGGTGGTTTTTGAGTTCTGTTAATCCCACAAACGAACATTACATTTTTATTTATATAGATAGATTTTACACCCAAGAGAAGGGAGACAGATGAAAACTACTGACAGATTGTATTGTCGAAGGCTTTCATGGCTGGAATCACTAGGTCCTTGTGGGTTTTTTCGGGCTATAGGGCCATGTTCTAGAGGCATTTCTCCTGACGTTTTGCCTGCATCTATGGCAAGCATCCTCAGAGGTAGTGAGGTCTGTTGGAATTAGGACAATGGGTTTATATATCTGTGGAATGGCTGGGGTGGGGCAAAGAGCTCTTCTCTGCTGGAGCTAGGTGTGAATGTTTCAACTGACCACCTTCATTAGCATTTGAAGGCCTGGCTGAGCCTGGGAAAATCTTCTGTTGAGAGGTGTTAAGATGTGCCTGGTTGTTTCCTCTCTGCTGTTTTGCTGTTGTAATTTTAGAGTTTTTTAATACTGGTAGCCAGATTTTGTTTATTTTCATCCACAAGCATGTGGACAATCTCAACAGAAAGGAAGAAACCATGAAAATGAACAAAATCTGGCTACCCGTATTAAAAAACTCTAAAATTACAACAGCAAAACAGCAGAGAGGAAACAACAGGCACATCTTAACACCTCTCAACAAAAGATTTTCCCAGGCTCAGCAGGCCTTCAATGCTAATCAAGGTGGTCAGTTGAAACATTCACACCTAGCTCCAGCAGAGAAGAGCTCTTTGCCCCACCCCAGCCATTCCACAGATATATAAACCCATTGTCCTAATTCCAACAGACCTCACTATCTCTGAGGATGCAGGCGAAACGTCAGGAGAAATGCCTCTAGAACATGGCCCTATAGCCCGAAAAAAACCTCACAAGAACCTACTGACAGATTAGAAGGTAGAAAAGGAAGTACCTCTCGAAAAGACTCTTCTCCAAGACTGAGAGATAGGAGATGGGGTTGTTGTAGGGTCTCAGGCGAACTATAGCATCACATGGGACATGCTTTGGCTTGAGGCAGAAGAAGGCTTCTTGGTCGCGCTCATCTAGATACTCGCACAGTTCTGCGTTTCTGCTCAGGTGAAATCCACATTCAGCCGTGACTTCAGATGTTCCATTCAAAAATTTACCCACGAAACCAATTTTGTCAGAGCCTTTCTTCCTTGCTGCCCAAAGAGCAGAAACGCCTTCACTGGGGTGGATGAGCAAGATGGAGACTCTGGCGTCCCCCTCCCAAAATAAGGTGAAATTGACCAGGAATGTCCCATTCCCAAAGTCTGTGATGTTCCCAGACGCTCCGGCCTTGAGGCTCAAGGAATAGATCCTTGCTCTCAAGAAGTCTCCTCCACACTTCTTCCTATTTCCCGAACGATCGTACAAATCCAGCTGCACCACCAAGTCTTCTCCTACGCAGTAAGAGTCCTTTGGGTTCAAGACGGTGGCTTTGCTGTTCTTAGCACTGGTGGTCGTACTAATATCACTAAAAGTCACATGGGGCATCAACTGGTCCAGCTTTGCCAGGATTTCTCCTATTTCCTGATTCCTTTTTGCGATCTCCATTTCAGCCCAGCTTGGGATCACATTTTTTAGGGGTAAAATTCTGCTCCTTCCATCGTCAACTGAAGGATTTTTATTTCAAATAAAAAGAGAGAGAGAGCAAACAATTTATTATTTATTTATTTGTTTATTTACTTACTTTGCTTATATACCACTGTTCTCAGCCCGGGGGCGACTCACAGCGGTGTACAACATAAGAAGAGCAAAATTCAAGCCACGTATAAAAACAATTCACAATCCCTTATACAAAAACACTATACAAAAAGCAGTATACAAAACATTGTCATTACTACGAAAACCATTCAGCGTCGTCTCATCATCCAAACCACAATCCAATATCATTTTCCGTTGTTCCATTCCTATAGTCGTTGCCAATCATTGCACTTCTTGTTCGAACGCCTTCTTGAACAACCAAGTCTTTAATTTCCTGCGGAATATCATCAGGGAAGGAGCCAGTCTAATGTCCACGGGAAGGGTGTTCCACAGCCGAGGAGCCACCACTGAGAAGGCCCTATCTCTCGTCCCCACCAGCCGTGCTTGTGAAGCAGGCGGGATCGAGAGCAGGGCCTCCCCGGAAGATCTCAAAGTCCTGGTGGGCTCATAGGCCGAGATGCGGTCGGATAGGTATCTTGGGCCGGAACCGTTTAGGGCTTTATAGGCCAACGCCAGCACCTTGAATTGAGCCCGGTAGCAAATTGGCAGCCAGTGGAGCTGGTACAACAAGGGGGTTGTATGCTCCCTGCATCCTGCTCCTGTTAGTATCATGACTGCCACACATTGGACCAATTGAAGCTTCCGGGCCGTCTTCAAGGGCAACCTCACGTAGAGAGCGTTGCAGTAGTCTAAACGGGATGTAACCAGAGCGTGTACTACCGTGGCCAAGTCAGACTTCCCGAGGTACGGGCGCAGCTGGCGCATGAGCCTTAGCTGTGCAAATGCTCCTCTGGTCACCGCCAAGACCTGGGGCTCCAAGCTCAGCGATGAATCCAGGATCACACCCAGGCTGCGAACCTGCGCCTTCAGGGGGAGTGCGACCTCATCCAACACAGGCTGTAACCCTATGCCCTGTTCGGCCTTGCGACTGACCAGGAGTACCTCTGTCTTGTCTGGATTCAATTTCAATTTGTTCGCCCTCATCCAGACCGTTACAGCGGCCAAGCACCGGTTCAGGACCTCGACAGCCTCCTTAGTAGCAGGTGGAAAGGAGTGACAGAGTTGGACATCATCTGCGTACAGATGACACCGTACCCCGAAACTCCGGATGATCTCTCCCAGCAGCTTCATGTAGATGTTAAACAACATGGGAGACAATATTGAGCCCTGAGGAACCCCACAAGACAATGGTTGTGGGGTTGAACAGGTGTCCCCCAACAACACCTTCTGAGATCGACCCTCCAGGAATGACCGGAGCCACTGCAAAACAGTACCTCCAAGACCCATCCCTGCGAGGCGTCCCAGAAGGATACCGTGGTCGACGGTATCGAAGGCCGCTGAGAGGTCCAGCAGCACCAACAGGGACACACTCCCCCTGTCGAGCTCCCAGCGCAGATCATCCACTAAGGCGACCAAGACTGTCTCGGTTCCATGTCCCGGTCTGAAACCAGACTGTGCCGGATCCAGATAATCCGTGTCTCCCAAGAATACCTGGAGTTGTGAGGCCACCACGCGTTCCAGGACTTTGCCCAAAAAGGGGAGATTGGAAACTGGCCGAAAGTTGTCAAATTTAGTGGGGTCCAGTGATGGTTTTTTCAACAGCGGTTTTATTATAGCTTGTTTTAAGCTCGCTGGAATCTTGCCTTCCCGAAGGGAGGCATTCACCACCACCTTCACCCACTCAGCCAATCCCCCTCTGGCCTCCTTTACAAGCCAGGATGGGCAGGGGTCCAGGATGCGTGTCGGCCTCATTCCTCCAAGTATCTTGTCCACATCCTCGGGTTTCACCAATTGAAATGAATCCATCAAAATAGGACAAGCAGGTTACATCCTCAGAGACTGCCCTTAATATGGTGTCTAGACCAGAACGGATCAAAGCAACTTTCAGTTCTTGTGGGTTTTTTCGGGCTATATGGCCATGTTCTAGAGGCATTTCTCCTGACGTTTCGCCTGCATCTATGGCAAGCTTCCTCAGAGGTGAGGTCAAGCAACTTTGTCTGCAAAGAACTGAGCAAAAGCTTCACAGCGAGAAGCCGAATTGTCAGGGTTCCCGTCTAGAGTGGCGGGGTTTAAAAGGCCTCTGACAATCCGGAACAACTCAGCCGGACGGTTCTTTGCAGACGCAATAGTGGCTGCAAAGAAGGCTTTCTTTGCGGCTTTTATTGCCGCGGCATATGCCCTTAAAAAGGACACAAACCGTGTTCGATTTGGCTCGCTCGGATCCGAACGCCACACACTCTCTAGTTCCCTCTTCCTTCGCTTCATCGCTGCCAGCTCCTCAGTAAACCAAGGTGCTGGTTTAGCTCGGCTACTTGAGAGGGGACAAACAATCCAAAGGGCTTGAAATTAATCCAAGCAACAGTTAGAACGCAGTCAAAGTATAGTAGATTCCTGCCTATACAACATAAACCCGACGGCAGAACACTGCATGAACCTTCTAGGAATTTAAGATCGTCTGGGGAGGCCCTGCTCTCGATCCTGCCTGCCTCACGGGCATGTCTGGCAGGGATGAGAGACAGGGCCTTCTCAGTGGTGGCCCATTAGCTGTAGAACTCCCTTCCCAGGGATATTAGATTGACCCCCCTCCCTCCTGACCTTTCAAAAAAGAATGAAAACCTGGAAGACTATGTAAACAGATGAGGAATTTGGACTGGAAGACATTGTTTTTAATTGGTTTTTATAGTTTTTAATAGTTTTTATGGATTTTATATATATTTATGACGTATTCAATTATTTTAACTGATATATATATGTGTGTGTGTGTGTGTGTCTTTGCAGATCGAAAGACAGTGCATCTGTCAAGTAGGAAATTTAGGTACCGCTTATGTGGGGAGGCTAATTTAACTAATTTACAATGCCATAAAACTCTCCAGCAGCGTGCAAAAGAATGAGGAAGTACTCCGTCCATGTCGCAAGTGGACGGTGAAGCGACAGCTCCCCAAGTGGCTGGAATTCGAAGCATACCCTCATGAAGCTGGAAAGTGAAATAACCTCTGTGTGTCTGTCTATATATGTTGTGTGTTTATGGCATTGGATGTTTGCCATGTACATGTGCATTGTGATCCGTCCTGAGTCCCTTGAGGGGTGAGAAGGGCAGAATATAAATACTGTAAATAAATAAATAAAAATAAATGTTGTGTTTCCTCCCATTAATTACCCAAAGTAATGCCATTGCCTGGTGTCATTGTAAAAATTATGAATTTCTTACCCGTTTCTGTGGCAATTTGCTCCTTTTCAGCTTGCCCCATGCGATATCTGAAGATGCTGACCTTGAGCATGCAAGGAAAAATGGATAATTGTAAGGAAAGGCCACAATTCAGTGGTGGAGCATGCAAGAGGCTCATAGGCTCCTCAAAGTTCTCAGGGAAGATCAAAGATATGGAAAACCATAGCCAGTTCAGAACTACAGGATTTAGGACCTTTAGGACATTGTTCACATTTCATAGCAAGTATGAGGTGAAGCCTCAAGGAGTTCCCAGACTCTGGTCTTCCAGCTATTTTAGACATCCAGATGTTTTGGACCTTCCTTGACCATTGGCCAATCTAGGTGAGAATTTTGGGAATTTGAGTCTGAAAAATCTGGAGAATAGCATGTGAATCTCCTAACCACCTACAGCTAAGACAGAGATGTCTCATCCCTGCACCTGTTGGGAATCAGCCTATGTTTGTGTTCCAAGATCATGCTGCTTCTGATGTGGGAAATGATGGGGCCGAGGCTGAGTTGCAAGACGGAGGTGGTTTGGTCAATGATTTTCATACAGACAATGACAGAGAGGCCCCAGTGCAAAGGGCAGATTCTCATGAGAATATTCCTGCAGGGCCTAGGGATGGTGGTTTACTCCCTCTTTCTGTGAGCTCTCAAGATTTGGGTTTGGAAAACAATCTGACACTTGGAAATTTTAATGAGCAGCCAGATAGGGAGTTGAAGAATAGGCGGCTGGAGATCAGCCAGGATCGACAGCAAACTCAGTGTTTACGTCGCTCTGAAAGGCTTTGTCTGATAAGGGACAAGTGTGGGGGAAAGCAAAACCAGTTTCTGGGATTTGGGATATAAGGTTTGCTTCAAGAGAAAACCTGTTAGATCAGGCATCATTTGGAAATCAAGTTCTTGTGCCATGGAAATCCTGTTCAAGGGGTCTTGTTCCTGTGAAGATTTTCAGCCTTTTGGATTGTTTTTGCATCCTGTTGATTTCTGTCTGGATAAACATTGTCTTGGATAGCTTTTATATCTCGTGTGGACATTGTTTTGTGTTGCTGCATTTTATTGACTTATTACTTTTTTGAACTTTCTTATTTTTCTTAGAAGCATTTATTTCTACTGGCTATTTTACTAAGCTTCAATAAAATGAGATTTTTTTCTTCACTCATCGTGTGGTGTGTTTTAAAGTCAGAGGGCTTTTTCCTGACCTGGAGTGAAACACAACCATCTACAGCTGTCCACATTGCTTCCCACACCACCATTGTGTTTTTCACTTTTATTACCAGTAGAAGGTGCAGATTTCTACCTTGGATTCCTCTCTGTATAGACCATAGCCAAGGAGGAGGAGGACTCCAAGCAGAAGGAGCAAGAAGGCTAGTTTCCTCTGGGCAGGAGGAGGTGCCAGGGACATCATGGTCAAGACCTATGGAAGAGATCGGATTTTGGCATTGCCCCGGTGAAAGATGCCAGGATAAACAAATGTCACCATTGTTGTGTGTCTTCAAGTCATGTCCAACTTATGGTGACCCTGAGATGGGGACTTTCTCACCGGTTAACATACAATTTATCATTACAGTGAAATTATAAATACATTCATTCTCTTATTTACATTCTTATTTATGCTATCTTTGGCTTGGCCAAACACTTCCAT